AAACATCCCATAACACCTTGTTTTCAAACTTTTTATTTATTTATTAGTGTCATTCCTTACAGCCAAGATCTACTGAAAAAAAATAAAACATTCTGTTTACTTTCATTTATAATTTGTCGGTTTCAAACACTTTCAGTTTTTGAATATTACTATATTCAATATACAGACAAAACAGCTTGAAATGTAATCACACAAGTTTTTTAAATCTAACAAATCTAAAAATCTTTTTTAAATCTAACTTACAGAACTCCGCGAAGAAGTTGCTATATTTCTGGAAGGTAAAAGCGATTTTGCGAGATATTTGCGCAATGAGGAATTTGTTCTGAGGCTCACGTATTTGGCAGATATTTTTTCAAAACTAAACGAACTGAATTTGTACTCGCAAGGAGCAGAAGATATCAGTATATTCGCAGTTCATGAGAAAATTTGAGGTTTCATGAAAAAACTTGTTCTATGGAAAAACTGTATTGACAACCGAAATTATGACTGTTTTGAAACATTTCAAACCTTTGTAATGGAGAATGAAGCAAAAGTTGATGACGATATAATCACTGAGATATCTGAACACTTGAATAAGCTGAAAGAGAGTTTTGAGTTTTATTTCCTTGAAGAAATGAAAAATATCCAAGAGAAAAAATGGATTATGAACCCCCTTCCAGCCTGACATAACGAGTGGGATATCGACAAAAGCTGAGGAAGAACTTTTTGATTTATCTGAGGATGCTTCATTAGAAATGAACTTTAACAGCAGAAAACTGATACAGTTCTGGGTGTCTGTTCAAAAACCGTACCCAATCCTTTCCACTGAAGCTTTGTAGGTACTTCACCCTTTCTCATCTTCATATCATTGTGAAGTTGGATTTTCAGCAATGGTAGGAATCAAAAACAAATTCCGAAATAAACTTCAATTGTCAAATTCCTTACGCCTGAAACTATCCCACATTGATGTTGATGTCAATGCCATTCTTGACAGTAACAAGAAACAAGCATATCCTTCACACATGCCTCATTATTAATCAAATAAATAGCATTTATAAGTTCTGGAAATGTTATTGAAAATATGTGAGTATTTTTAAATGTAATTGAAATACATGAATATGAATAAATAATATTTTTTTATATTCTTTCATATGTTTTCCCCAGTAAATTTGAGTGGGTTGCCATAAGCTGTGGTCATAAATAGTGGGTCGCGATTCTAAAAAGTTTGGGAACCCCTGCTCTAGAATAAAAGTTGTCTGGTCCAGGGGGATTTATCAATTTTTAGGTTTCCCAACTTTTCTCTTCCAATTTCAATGCTTAAAATGATATCTTTTACATCAACATTTTCCCCATACATTAAGTGCTCTGGTTGAGACATAATACTTGTAAAAACTGTATAAAACTTCATAAAACTGAAGAGAACATATAATTCAATAAGTTTACCATCCCATAATATTCCAAGATCAGCTCCCCACTATCATTTTCATGGGGCCCAATCCCCATCCTAACATTTCGCTTGCCCACCATATATCCAAAGAATTCCTTATTGTATGATTTAACTCTCTCAGCCAACCCTTTTTCATATATACAGTTTTTAACTTCCTTTTTAACCAGCTCTCTTGATTTCCTATAGTCCTCCAAGTCCTTGTTATTTCCAGTAAGTTTAAATTTCTTGAATTTATTATGTTTATCCATAATATGATCTATTAAACCTTTACTCAACCATACTGACATATTCTGCTCTGTTGCCCTTTTTTTCTGAAAATAATATGTATGTTCTGTATGTATATCATTTTTTCCCTAAATGCTTCCCACATCTGTTCAAGATCCCCTCCCAACTCTTTAGTCCAGATCATGTCTCATTCCATCAAAATTGACTTCCCTGAAATCTGGAATCAGGGTACTATTCTTCAATTCTACATGTAGTAAAATCCCACATCTGATAGTGAAATGGTCATTTGTACTTAAACTCTCACCAATCACAACTCTGTCTGTCATATTCACATTGGATTCTAATATTAAATCTAATATAGTTTCCTCTCTTGTAGGTGTCATCACCAGTTGGTGTATAAAAGTATCCAGAACAATTTCCAAAACCTATCCTCCCTCACTGTCAGACTCAAAATGTTCCCAATCAATATCCCTGAAATTAAAATATTCCATAATAACAACATCTTTTTCAGCTTCCATTCTGATCTCATTATACAGTTTCTCATAAACTTCTACATTCTGGCCTGGTGGTCTATAACAAATCCCAATTACAAGACTTTTCCCTTCATACCCACTACCACTAACCCAAACTGACTCAACCAGTGATTCTCAACCAGGGGTAAATTTACCCCT